ACATCAGATAAATGAGATGTGTGAATCAAGGCTATGCGAAATGCAATGGAAACTCAAGGTCTACTCATATGATTGTGGAAAAATTCAACCATCAGTCCTTCCTCATCTTAAACGGAATAGTGTCAACACATTTCAGACATTAAACTTAGCTCTATCACAGAGGCAAGACGACTGCTCGGGCGAGTTTTTCTTTCTACCGAACGCAAAAATATCATCCTTCCCCGCTTATTGCAATAGCTCATTTGTGTCAATTTTCGATAGGTTTGATGGGACAGTGAATCGCCGAACTGTTGCCCAATGCACGGAAATAGCCAACCTTGGAAGTCGGTTGACACACACGCCAAGCGACAAGTGCAACTCGAGGAGCACACGAGAAGTAGATGAAGAGAAGGACTTACAAGAAAAGCAATCTGAGCTGTTCCACTTTGGCTGGTGGATGAGTGTCACGGTTGCCAGGCGCCAGAAAGGCGTGAGCATAAGCCATCGGGCCCTGATTGACGGTGGGCAAGAGGGCGCCGGACAAGTGCATGTCCATCAGCAATGGGATGCCGCCTGCGACAAGCGCCTCTCGAGCCGTTCCAGACCTGGACACAGAGCCGGATTGGCTGACCTCCATGCGGTAGCCACTGCGAGTGCTGCCATGGCGACTGCCGGTGGCCCGTAGGACGGCAAGTGAATTGCGAACCGCACCAACTGGTTGGCCGGATGAGACGGATTCTATTTCTTTTACTAGATTTAGGGAAAGGGTAGGGGGGGAGAAATGTGTTAAAAAGAAAACAATTGGTAAGTACGATTTGACTTGAATAAATTTAGAAGAAGTGAGCTAATAAGAAAGATAGCTTCATATTGAGCCGATCTTGAATAAGAGCTCGGTTAGGTCAGTAGTCAAACCATGACAATGCAGCGTGTAAGCTCGACACGTTAACGACTACTCCACAGTCACAGGGCACAACTCACAGGTCTAATTTACTGGTAGTCTCGACAAGCTACTTACTAAAGAAAGAAGTAGTGTTGTCGATTGCTATAGCAAATATAAGTTTGCCTAATCGACAAGCCCAATAGAGAATGTGATATGGCAAATGCCTCAAGACACTCGTGGCAACGTGGAGGAGTGGTTCACGTGGCGAGTTTACACGCTGCACTGTCAAAGTTCGACTGCCGCTGGGAATGTTGATAAGACCTGGGCGAGGTCGAAACTGCCGTCGAATCCTGCCTGGATGAGAACACCTTTTGTGTAGGCAGGGCTATGTCAAATTGCATGGAAAACATCAACTCTACTCATGTCATTGTGGGAAAAATCAACTACCAGTCCTTCATCACTTCAAATGAAATAGTGTGAACACAACTCATACGATAAAACATTGTTTTTGAATAGTCACACTTTATGTGTTATAGAATAAAAGCAATATGGCTTTC